CCCATTCCAAACGTGAGTACCCCAGGCCATTTCCGTTACAATATATTATAAGAAATTTATTAGAAAAAATATCCGGAAACGCGTAACTCTTCAGGACCGTTGCTTAATGAAAAAGCCGTTAAAACACAGAATGTTTAACCTAAACTATCCTATTAATTTGTAACTACTTGCAGTTATTTCATTCCTGTTATGTATTTTATTTTGATTTAAGGTAAATATTAATAGTTCGTTTAAATATTAATGTGATTGTTAGAAATGTGGATATAAGAATTTTAGAAAATTGACACTAGTATAGAAACTAGGACTCCAGCTTGATGTCATATATGATTGCAGTGTGGATGAAATCGCCAAGTACGATGTTCCAGCTATGCTTCAGCTGGTCCAATACCACTCAGGTGCTAAAGGAAAGACAGTTTATATTGGCCATTCTTTAGCGTCTTCAGTAGCCATGATGTTTGCCTCAGAACGACCGGCTTTTGCCGAAAGCTTAGTGTCGCTCTTCATTTTTGTAGGTCCCGCCTATAAAATGACCCACATGCGTAGTCCTTACCGTATGTTCTTTCCACTCTTCTACCCGGCCTTGGTAAGTGTAATGCTTTTAAAGTGCACTAGCAGAGGGATTTTAAAATTGTGAATGCCAGGAAATCACTGGGGCTTTGAACGTGGTCCAGATAGTATCCAGGGGACACTCTAGGAGATTAACACGACCCACATGCATGGCGTCGCCAGTGATTATGATGGGCTGTGTTGCAATGGTCAATATGTTTATTGGACCTCTTACTGAAATTGCTCCTGTAAGTGAAATTCTTTTCTTTTTTTATAGATCTTCAACGCATTTGCTGTGATAAAATGTTCGTAGGCTTCCCGAACACAAAGCACCGGTTTGAGGCGAAGAAAATTGGAAAAATTACAACTTTTATTTTGGAACTAACTGTTAGATTTTTTTCAGGACTTTCATACTCGCGTGCCTTGCGTTTAGATTAGTTCTCGTTCTTTCTTACTCGCACACTGCCAAACTGCTCAACCTCACAAGATGTGTTAAGAGTTAACCTCTTTAAAATTAGAGCACCACAATGTTGTTACGCCGTGAATCTATTAAATAAACAATATTCATTTCCGTTATGCGTTGGGGCGACCTACCACGCAAGAACCTTTGGGTGAAAAATTCTGATAGAACTAAAGAGGCTAGTGGAAAAAGGTGGTCATTACGGAAAAAAATAATTTATACAAAACTAAATGTGTTATGTGCATATTTTGCGACGCCTGGCATCTAGAAGACAATGTAGCCTCTAAATTAGGAGATTTGGAAGGATGAATCATGTTACGAGTTTAGTACAGAAAATTATGAATGAATGTGTAATGAGCACATAAGGCCTTCAGATTTTGAAAATGGAACAGGAATTTATGTAATTACACGCAAAGAATCAAAAGGCGTTCTTACAGGCCTGGAGTGAATAGTAGGCTAATTGGGGATATATGGACTGTTTTCTTCTTCTTCGTGGAGCGCCGTGTCTGGGTTCAGACGTTGGCTCTTATCATGTCATTCTGCAGAATATCTTTCTGTCCGCTGATATTCTGCAGACAATCTTTTTTCTTCAATCAGACATTTTTTGTGAGGTATTCCAATTCCAGTTAAGGTTTTTTCATCGGATTCTCCCCTTGCATTCAGTCCACAATCAAGATATTTGAACATCCTGGGTCATCGTCGATGATTTGATGCATGTACTGTGTCTGGAGGTCTGTTAGAATTTGAGCCACGATGGCGGTATCGCTGGAATATCCAATGTTATTTATGATTTCTCCTCCCATTCTTATACCCGCCGTTACGCCATCCATCGCCTCACAAAATATTTGCTCAGAATATACATTGAACAGTGCAGGCGACAAAACAAATCTCTGACGTAATCTTCGTTTAATTGGAATTTTACTTGAAGAGGTATTTAGATCTTTCCAAACGGTGGCTACTTGATGTTAGTATAGGTATTTCAGTAGTCTAAAGTCGTAATTGTCCAGTGCTACAGACTCCATATATTAGAGCACCCGATCAAAATCCTTCTCCAAGTCTAGAAACTATACATAAACGTTATTTCGGCATTCACAGCACTTTTGGAGAATAACCCACATACCGAATAAGGTTTCGCCAGTTTTCAGTCCATTCCGAAATACAAAGAATTATTCCGCATTACATCATGCGTGCATGACGTTTTGAAGAATACATGGCAGATTCTTAAGCGTGTGACTCATCAGGCCTATCAGTCTGAAATCCTTACAATTGCAAAGTTTACTCTTTTTCAGATTTGTAATGAAAAGGGATTCTAACGAGTGCTGAGGTATCTGCCCAATATTTTAAATTTGGTTGAAAATTGTAGTTAAGTATAGGATGCTAACCTTATCCAACAATTAAAGTAAATCGGCAGGGACCTGATTCGGCCCAAGTGCCTTGTTGTTTTTTGCTTGTTTCTGACCTTGCTTGACTAAGGCTTGCTCAACTTCTGCCCTGCTTGTTGCTCGCCACGGTCCGTGTCCTCACAGAGATTGGACACATAGTTCTTTCGCTTTCTGCAACTCAGATCTAGATCGGTTATGATTTTCTCACTGGAGTTCGCATTCCAGCTGTGGCTTTAAGTTTTCTGTGTGGATTAAAGTCATCATGTTTGTTTTGCTGTTCTTCTATTTCATGACAAGAGAGTTTGAACCATCCGTCCTTGGCGTCCATTTGGTCGTTTCACGTCTATGGATACATTTTACGTTTATGGATTTTCTTATGTATTTCCAGGTATTTCTCTCTATTCTTCTTCTTAGAGCCTATTCTTTGCTTAGCTGCTCTTTTCTAGCGTGGTAATAGATCCGTCGCTGTTCGAATAATGGAAGTAATTACCTATATCTGTCCCATATTGACGACATTTTGTTACTTTCGTTGTATATTGATTTTATATTATCTTGTTGTTCATTTCAATAGCAAGTATACCCTTCACTATGGTGTCTTTCATATTCGTAATTTTCTCAGCTTCACTCATAACGTGAAGCAGAACAAAATGTGGCCTGTATTTCTATCTGCTCCATAGTATTATTTCACAGCTGTAACACTGTTTCGGAAGCGACGATTGATTATTACAAAGTCGATCTCGTTTCGTATAGTCCGATCATTGTGTCCGTCTTGCGGCGATTTCGACGTGTAGAAGCACCTGGGTGGGAGCCTGAACCAAGCGTTCATAATAAAAAAACCTCTTTTCTTGGCAGAATTCTAACAGTCGTCCACCTCTCTCGTTCCTGTCCTCCAAGCCAAATTCTCCGATAATATATTCTATAGCCCTCCGACCAACTTTCGCATTAAAGTCATCCATGACCACTGTGTAAAATGTTTAAGGATATATAGATTTTGCTTCAGTGGCCAGTACAGTCAATTTGGCACAAACTTCTTTTATAACATATTTTGATAGTCACACGCGCTTTAAAAGTAAAATACCATAACTGACTTTCTGAAGTCGGCGGCACATATTTAGATTCCGATAGAGACTTTGGTCACTAGGAATAGGTGTTCAGGAACAATGAACAGATTTTATCTCCTCAGCAATACCGCAATATAAGTGTTGGATGTTGCACTTGGATGTGGAAAATAAGAAAAAAGTGTTTTAAGCGAAAAGATTCGTGATGGTATAAAATGGATTACGGTTGATGATGAATTTGTAGTTTGTCGGTAGATTAAGAAAATTATAGTTAATAAACATCATTTAAGAAAGTCACTATAAAGAAGCGGTCTTCAAATCGCRGTCAATCAAATTACACGCACGTTCAACTTAAGGTCCTKGGCAAAAGATGGTAAACYATTGACAAACAGACGGAGCACAGGTAAGGGAGCGATGGAAAACTATTGMGAGAAATTGATGGACGACACGGGAAACTCAGAAAGTTGCACTCAACGTATAAYGTGCAACAAAGAAGAACTTCCCATTCTGAGAAAAGAAGTGAGGGCAGAAGTTAGCAAGTTTAAATCCAACAAGTSGTCTGGAGAGGACGGCGTGGTTGCTAAAATGCTGGCTGCACTCGAGGGTATAGSAGTTGAACCATTTTAAAAGATATGTCAAATGATATTGGACACCGACACTAGCCCTGATACCTGGGCGAACTCTGCATATGTGCCAATACACAAGAAAGAATCAAAAGATATATGCGACARCCACAGAACAATATCTCTTATTCCACACGCTAGCAACGTCATGTCAAAGAWAATATCGGGACGCATAAAGCCTTACCTSCTCTACAGAAAAGAYACTAAACMTCCGACAAATAATMAAAAAATCGACGGAATTCAATGTKCCTACCTAYTTATGCTTSACARRTTACTCCAAAGCAKTTGAYTGCATACGAAAACAAAATTTAAAGTCGGTTTTAACAGAAACGGGTGCACCACACCASTTCGTTAATAGACAATTTATACAACATCACACCATACGTCARAGTAGAGAGAGATTTGACCAACTCATTAAGACGGAGTAAARGAGTCAGGCAGGGTGGTATACTAAGCCCACTACTCTGTAGCATRCATCTGTGGCGAGTGAATCATGAGGAAAGCGCTAGATGACTGGCAGGGAGGAATCACCATTGACGGTATCAAAATCTGCCACTTGCGCTAAGCCGATGATACGACTCTGACTGTTGCATCAGAAGAAAAATTGATCAATCTTAAATGAAAAGTAAAAAAAAACAAGCAGAGAAGTAGGCCTGCAGATAAACAGAAAGAGAACTAAAAGAATGATAATTGATAGTCAAAATAATAACAGACCTGAAGTAAAAAGGGCAAACAACGTTGGGATAGTTGACGCTTTCATATATCTTGCCACCACAATCTCGAGCAAGGGCGGTGCAAGCGAGTAGATAAAGATAAGAAGCGGAAAAGCTAAAGAGGCCATAACCAAATTAACCAAGGTATGAAAAAGCCATCACATATCCCTTAACACCAAAATGAGATTAGTTAGGAGCTTGGGGTTCTTGGTCTTCTATAAGGATCAGAACACTGGACTTTAAATAAACGGATACGCGAAAGATTTGTTGGCAAAGAATGCTGAGAGTGTCATGGACTGAGGAAAGAACGAACCAATCTATTCTGGATCAACTCAAAATTAAGAAGAGATTGGGCATTCTGGTAGCGGAGAAAATACATAAATTCTTTGGTCATGTGGTAAGAAGAAATGGTCTTGAGAGACTCACTTTGGTACGGACAGTCCTTGGCAAAAGATCAACAAGAAGGTCGCCCACAAGAAACATGAATCTTATAACCGGTCTCAACGGCAAAAACCTTATAAAACGACGAAGAAGATAAAGAAACATCCAAATGTAAAATTGTCCAAAATGTGAAATTTAAAGAAAGTATTTAAGAAATCGGAGGGGTTGCCAAAGATAAAAGGCAAGATCCTGGAAGTTTGCTCCGATCCATCGTTGATTTTAGGATAAAATATCCAAAAAATTATCCTGTGATCGAAGACAAATCCCGAAAGCTTAACAAACCTCCTTCAATTATTAAACGTTCATTTTATATGCTATGAAAAATTTTAATTCGGAAATGGAGAAAGGTGTTACGTAAAATTCTTAAATGTTGAAGTTTTTTCGATTAAAAAAGTTCAAAAAGATTATTAAAATTTTTAAAGCTGCTGCTTACGATAAAACTAGAATGAAATTCATTCTAATATTTCAACAAAACCAACTTTAGGATTCATAACACCTTCCACTCGTCTCAGCCATAATTGACGAGACGACTGGTAGGTGCTCAATACTTAATATTAAACTGTATCAAATTGATTTTTTAAACAATTTATAGGATTTGAACCCAGAGTCAAAACTTGTAGTATTCTTGGTGTGTTCTAATAAAAAAAGACGATATTTTCCCGCTTTGATCTAGTTATCAAAACACTAAGTTTTTACGATTGTGTATCACAAGAAACTTCTGCACAAGTATAAAACTAAATACACAGTATGCATGCTACACCAGAAATAGAAAGGATTTTCTAAACTACACAGAAAAAGATGAAATTAGAGCTGTTGTGAGTAAAAAATTGGGAAAATACTCGGAAAGAGTTAGAGATGAGCAAACAAAAGTATGAGAAACAAAGATTTTAAATTAAATGTAAATTTCAAAGCAACGTTATGCCTATACAGCGTGAGGCATTTAAAAAAAGCAAAGTTGATGTTCCTGATTTATAAGCGTCAAAGTAGCATTCCTGAGTAGCCAAATTTTCAGAACAATTCCAAGTCGTGTTGCCGGTATACGTCTAACGTCCCACCAACCGTGAGCCACCCTGTATATTCAGAATTTTTTAGTTTATACGGCACGGAAGATTGTAGGTAATACTTTTCCGAGATTGCACTACACATTTTAATGTGTAACGCAAATAAATTACGCCAGTATACAGTGCCAATTTTTGAAGGTCATCGATTTTGCACTTGGATATGGTTCTCGCAATAAATTGGTGCAATTTTATTAAAACGAACATAAATTCCAACACTTTATTTCTCTTGTTATCTGTTAGAAACGAGGTCGGGTTCATAGCAGATGAGTCATGATCCAAATTATTGTTTAATTGAAATGCTCGTTATTTGTTTTTCTTGTTTTTTATTTCTCCTAATTTCTTGTCCTTTTTCTTCGACAGTCGCAAAATCGTCATTACGCACTTAGCAAACAACAAATAACCGCTAAAATTCGTAGAAAACTTGCACCATTCGCAACAATTTTCAACATGCCTACGTCCGCAACAAATCGTACGATTGACCGTCGCAGTTCGAAGCTTTTCGCTAATATCTGGTGACCCTCAATAATTGGCCTGCGTTTTTGGACAATAAATCGGTCAAACCTGCGTAGTGTAACATCAGCAGAAGCGATTATTATTTATGATACTAATATGGAATTACCGGCATACATTTTTGAATTACATTGCACATTATAGGGCGTCCCAATAATTAGATTGAACCAAAAATTGCATCGATTTGGAAGTGGATGCCGTGCATATTATTGTCCCATTAGTGTCTACGAAAAAAATAATGTAAGATCCATCAAGGTTTATATTACTCAAAACTTACGATTTCTCAAATATTTTGGGTTTTGTAAAAGTGAGCATTTTTAAAAGCTAAATTATCAGTACTTATTGGGAATTTGAAAAACTTATTCATTAACTTAGATTTCATGAAAATTATATGTTTTTGGTAGTAAAAAATATGTTTGTGCATCATGAAGCTGCCTCTTTAATATTGCGTCAACCATTCCTTAGTAGTTGACAAATGAAATTTTCACTTTGGTTTCGGAATATCCATATCGCACTTAAACGTTGAAAAAAAGTATTCAGTTTCTAACTGATTGACGAAATAACCGGTGCTTGCAGGAAACACTTCCAGTTTATTTTAACCAGCTGCCCGGCGGGACTTCTTTGAAAACGTTGACTTTCCTGCGAGAGTCCACCAAAGGCAATTTCCGGAAATACGACTATGGGCCTGGAAAAAATCGGTTTCTCTACGGCAGCAAAACCCCACCGGACTATGACATCAGTAAAATCACTGTGCCAATTTTCCTCATTTATGCCAGAAGCGACTGGGCTACTACCAAACAGGTGGGGAATCTGGATTTATTTATATAGGGTTGCAATGTTTTAATTCTAGGACGCCCTGGAGCTTTACAAGCAACTGCCTCAAGCAATCAGGGCGGGCATTTATGGGGTGGAAAAGCTGAACTTCAATCATAATGACTTCTTTTTCGGGAGAAATGCCGATGAGCTGGTCAACAAGCCCTTAATGGAGATTATAGACAAGTTCCTAGCGAAACGGCGAGCTGGAAACAGAACCACACCAAATCCCCAAGAGGAACAGTGAATAATAAACTGTAGGCGATTGTGTTTGTGGAACATATTGCTCAATTTAAGTACGTTGAAGTTGGTTGCTGACAAGTCACGAGTGATGTTGATATTAGCATCTTTTTGGCTTTATTTGTCCACTGTAACAAATTGTGAAGGAAAATAACMGCCATTGYGCTGATAACTGGACTGCCATGCAAATAAGGATCGATAGGYAACTTAGTTCTAGAAGGTTTTGTATGTCATATTATTSTGGATGTTTTTATCTAGCAATAGTTTTTGTGATATATCGCCAATTATTTTGTTAWTTCTAATAAATGCTTTMGCAAAGTATTTTCAGTTGCTTATTCCCCACTTCCAGATACCTGCAAAACTTTTATTACAGTTTACTTTAAAACAATTAATGGAAATTCTCAATATAAAAYGAGTGTTAGAAKTACTATGAARATTAGTTTTAGTTGAGTTTCTAGAAATAAAAATTGCTCTTCTGGAAGTTATTTCCTTTTCGACAGGAATTTMTCTRAAGAAACTTTTGGGAGTTATGTGCCCATAACCAGAAAACTAACCAGAATGTTGACTTATGATAAACTTAACATGATAATATACAAAGTATATGTACGGTCGGTAGTGCCCATGGGGCGGCAACAAGAGCTGAAACTTCAGTAACAAGGAGGATTTTTACCCTGCAGTACACGCATGCGTTCTGACAGACCGATCGAAGGCACCATCGCTCATTAATCTTCTCATCACTCCTCATCATACCTTCCTAGAGTCTGCCTTTGATTATCAGTGCAAATGCTCAAATGGATAAGTGAATTACGTTGTATTTTATTTTAGATTTTGGTACAGCATTTTGACGTACAATTTTTTTATAATCTGAAACATTATCAAAGTAAGTTTGAACAATGTATTATGAGTCTTCTGTATTGATTGACTATATAATCGTAGTTATAGTTATTGTATTGATTATAAATAAGAGAGTTTTGTCCCACAGCAGATTCGGTCTGGGAGACCGATACGGGACTCGCGTTTCAGAATTTGATGCGGGTACCGCAGGGTTAAGAACAACTGAGACGAAGACCCTAAGAGCAATAACAAGACACGCACCAAGACACACTAAAAGATAGGCAAAGAAATACAGACATAAAAATAAGGTGCCAAACCGACGACGTAGTCAGATGGCTAAGGGAAAGAAGAAGATAATATACCGAATAAACGGAACCGGCATAATTTTGGTATTTCTCTAGGCAGGTATTTACGTAATATTGACCTAGCAAATTATTTTGAAAAAAGCTGCTTTTTAAAATTCTCTAATTCCAAAGCAGCGAAAATCACAAAAATAGAAAATGGGAGTTACAATGCACATCCTGAAAAGGCGAGAATTTAGCACGAGGCAATTCCCTGAACCCAGTCTAAAACCATTGGCTTGGAAAGTCCACGGAATGTAAAAGAAACGAGTGTACCTTCATACCGCACCAATTACATGCAAAATTGCTCCATTTACGCATTCTAATTTGCAGTTCCGCAACCTATTTAAATGCATTTGAAAGCAACAGGACCGGAATCAAAAACGCTGATAAGTCAGCGATCTCTCAGATTCTGAGTTCATATCGTTCTGATATCCTCGAAATATTTGCTACAGAAATTAGGCAAACTTTCCGGTACGCTAAATACGAAATAACTCATACAGGCTGCAGGCAATTAATTGAGCACTGAGGGTTGTAAATCGAAGTTCAAATTTCTGCAGAAGAGCTACTTGAAGAATCAAAAGCACTGCTACAACAGAACACAAACAGGAGCTGCAAACATTTTTTTTACATTAAACTCCGTTACTGGCTAGGCACCGATACCAATAACCCAAGGCACGAGTCATAATTTTTAACAATCCGGGTGAATTGAATGCAGATAGTCAAGGTCCTGCAAGAACCTAGACCATGGTATCAATTTCAAGAAGGAAACTGCACTATTCGCCCATTTAAGTGGCCATTTACACGAAACATGATCGGTGGGTCGGTTATTGCATTTTTTGTGCTTGCGGCCCTTGAGGGTTCCATGGGTGACATGGAGAAGAACAACGTGTGTCCAACTTTCGAGGATTACTACACGATAAAGAATAATTCAAACTGCTGGTATGATTTGGGTGCTGATTATGTGGCGGTAAGTACACCGATAGCCTAAAGTTGAACTTTTCCTGATGTACGATATTTGAGATGTTCAATAATTCAATGCAAGAAAATCGAATTCATTGTTTAAAATTCAAATGACGGATGCGAAAGTACCATTTAGATGATTCCGAGCAAGAAGTCGTCGTTAGCGAAAACGTTCCATATTAAATATTTAGGAAAAACGCCTCATGGATTCAAGGAAAATCGAACATGTGCATTCAGTTAATATTTATAGTTGCCAATGACGTTCTCAGTTCTTCAATTGTGTTTAGCAAGGCATTTATTTAAACATCAAACATTTACTATACAATTCCAAACCCTTTAGAACCTAAATTACATGTTTTTCGGAAACAAAGAACACTTTTTTATTTGTATACGCCTTGAAGTTTATAGGCATATTAATTAAAATAAGTGAAAAAATTCAAAAACAAGAGTATTTCTTTAGACTACAGGACAATAAGCTGCGATGGAATTTTGATGTCCGCTTTTTTCTATACGCGGATACGCTAATCTTAGGCATCCCCAGACAGCGTTGCCAGCAAGGCTAGTTTTTCGCAAAAAAATATACAACTCTCTCAGAATCGAATAAGAAACTTTGAAATCGAGTTTTCTTTCAGTGTTTAACTGGTAATATTATTTATGGGTTTGGCTGAACGAAATGCTGACCAAGTAGTGGTTGTAAAACTAGGTGCATGTTATGTTTTTCGCAGAGCCTAACCGGTAGGAATGAAAAGCTAAATTAAAAATTCTTGAAAATCTACAATAGCAATCGACAGTAAACATGCAGCTTCACTGGTTTCCGAAAAAATGATTTGCCAAACTGAGGGCTGTTAACCCATAGATAAGAGAAGAGTTAACCATTCACATAACTATGACAAATTTAATGTCTTGAAAATAATCTAATGGTAAAATTCAACCCTTTTGCCTTTGATGAAACGCACTATGCCCTTCAAAAGTGATACAACAGTCCCATCTGAAACCGATAAAAATCCGTATTTATAATTTACTATTGCAATTTCACCCTCTAGCGACCATTTTGCAAATTTGAAAGTTATTTCCGGCCATTTGCCTGAGCCACTTTACTTCTATATTTTTTTCCTTGAAATCGTTACGATTAATAGTTTGTGAGGTACGGCCGACCACCTCTCTTAGTGGCCCACCTTGTACAATGTATTTTAATGACTTGGCACATTGATTTTAAATATCAGGGTAAATTATAAGAAAAATAATTTGGATTCTCTCGAGGAAGATTTTGACCTATCCGAAGAAATCTAGTTTAGTTCCTAATAAGAGTTTTATTTGTAATTACAACAACATTACTAATTATACAGGGTGATTCCAAATTGGCGTCATTCCTTTTAAGGGGTGATAGAGGCTCCCTTGGGAAGTACGCGAAAAGAACTGAAAATTATTTTTTCAAAAATTTCTAGTAGATATTAACAGTTGAAGATGGTTCCATGTTTAATTTGGTAGCATATTGGAATAATTAAGCATTCAAAAAGAAAAACTACGATCTTTGCTTCAAATTACGAAAATTTCTGATATCAAAAAAGTTCTCTTCTACAATTTTTTGATGAAAAGGCACAGGGGCAATTATATTATTTGTCATTAACAGATAGTTACAGGTAGATCGTGTGAATTTTAACAATAATTTGTCAAACTGTGACTTACTTTGAATTTCCTGTCACGAATTTGCGGATATGCGATTAGTTCAGGGGAAATGCTACACTAAGATAGCAGAACCTGAAAGAACTCAAGCCAACAAAGGACGAGGAGAGTGGTTCCAGGAAGATAGTGGACGATAGATGTTCGGAAACAACTGACACTTTCCCAAGCACCAAATAAATACCGAGGGCTACATTCCTACCACGTTTGTACGATACACACAGTACAAGGAGATACAAATGGTGCAGGAGTTAATTAACTGAATACGAGAAGCTGCTTGATAAGAGTGGGTAATAAGGAGATTACACAAGCACTAGCTTGTTTCGAGTGAACCATTCAAATCTTTGGTGTTGTGGGGTTTATTTATAAACACCAATATTCGAGGTTATGAGAACAGGTTGACATTTCTTCAACAAATTCAACAAATCTTGTTGAATTTACCGTTTATCCTTGTCTATCTTATTGCCAGTCTGTATAATTCCATGGTTACCGGAGTTTTAAATAATTACGAAGCCAAAGGTATTTGCGCAATGTCAATAAGGCAGATTACCTTGAAAAACATTGCCGTATTTCTGATATAGTGTTTTGCAAATTTCTCAGTTTTTGAAAACAATTAATTTATTTTATTATTTTTTATGTACTCCTACAACAGCGCCAGACAACACCTCCAGAGGAATGACGCCAATTTTGAATCACCCTGTATATATTTAAAAGATGTTACACAGTATATTGCGGGATTTGTGAGCAGAAAACTTAATAAGAATTAATCGTATTAATGCACCTAACAATGAAATAAATAATAGAATTAGACAGAAACGAACATAAACCATAATTTTTAGCCACTCTGTATATTCACAGATAGATAGATAGATAAAATTTATTTCAATATTGATAATTTTTGACAAGCATGGGCAAATGGAACAATAGACCCTGTCCTGCCCGGTGTTCGGCATTGGTGCTCCTTTGTCTATGGTCCAAGTGTTCACGCATTGATCCATTACCTGGGCTTAGACATGGATATTTGCGGAATTAATCGTTCGCCTGACAACGTGAGGCGATGATCTAAAAGTGGCAGTTTTGTTTTATTGGAGGGGCATTCATTAAGGGAAAAAAGTCTTCCAGACATCAAGCCAAAAACCCCTTTTGTTTCGAGCTTCAATTTTGATACTGTCAGCCATGGCGTTAACCGCCGGCAGTTTCGACTAGATGTGATACCGACCACTCTGTATATTATCATTAGCTAAATATTCTTTTAATATAGCGCCTCAACTTAAAAATTTAATTTTCTAAACTTCTCTGATTCTAATAAGCTAAATGCAAAGCAAAATTACTCGTTTTTATGCTTAACAAACTTGAATTTAATAAAAGTTGTTCTTTTGAATATTGTAAACGCTCAAAATAGTCGATACATTTTAAAAGGTTCATTAAGATTTTATGATTGATGACAAAAACTTGATCAATATTTAATGGTATCGAGAAGTGTTATTTAATATTTATTTCTAACTAAATGTATATTTAATTGTAACTAAAATTCAAATAGTACCGGTCGTACCAGCAATTAACTTTCGTTTAGCGGCCTTAAACTGCTTACAATTTTTGTTAATAAAATGTTAAAAATGATTTCGGAAAAATACTGTAAATTTTACGGTCGCAGATTTCAACCATCCAAAGAAATTAAAGGGAGGATAGGGGGCCGGCAAAGAAAAATACCAGATTTTATGGAACAATTTTCTATAAAGAAAAAATGTGTTATAATAATGTTAGAATTATTAAAAAACATCTCTTTAGCGAAGCTCAGAAATTAATTTATTTTTATTAAGTATTTGAAAAAAAAATTTAAAACAGAAAGAGGAACAATCCTCTTCCTCGCGACAATCCTCCTACTTGCAACAGAAAAAATTGTGGCACTCAAGCTAATGTTGGATTCCAGAAAAGTTAATATAAAGCTGATAAACCCCTCCAGCCTCTTACAACAAATGACCAGCTTGACGAAATAGTGGCTAATTTTACTGAATTAATACAACAACAAACCCCACCCATAAAACCCCCGGATTTAACTACCCGATGGAAGTGAAGAATCAGATAAAACATAAAATTAAACGTGGACGAAATTGGCAAGCAACCAGAGATGGTGCGATAAAAACCAAGTTTAACTCCGAATCTCGAAAAATTAAAATATTCATCCGATTTTTGAAAATCTAGCAGCGGATGAAAGTACAAACTTCTATCTGTAGAAAACTGCACAAATAAAAAATGATGACAGCTCAAACGAGAGCTTATATACAACCTCAACCGGAAAAAAAACCCCGGATACGATGTCATCACTGGACTGGTGTTAAATAAGTTAAATACGAAAGGACTAAAAATGTTACTAGTGTTCGTCAACGCAACATTTATACTGATGCGTGTCCGGGCTCATTGGAAAATCGCAGAGATGATAATGGTTTTAAAGTCCGGAAAAAAGCTGCAGACCGATTTCTTTGCTGCCTATCATGTCAAAAATATTCCTCACACGATTGAAATCAGTTAGTATAGAAAAGAATCTACTACCCAATCACCAGTATGGATTTGAGCAGACACTCAATAATAGATCAAGTTCATCGTCTAATGAACATCATAGAAAAACCTCTGGAACGAGACGAGTTGTGTTTAGTGATCTTTCTGGATGTATAGCAAAAGTATATATAATTGTATAACTAAACTTCAAATCGTACCGGTCGTACCAGAAATTAGCCTTCGTTTAGCGGCCTTAAACAGCTTACAGTTTTTGTTAATAAAATGCTAAAAACGATTTTGGAAAAATGCTGCAAATTTTACGGTCGCAGATGTCAACCATCCAAAGAAATTAAAAAGAGAATAGTAGGCCGACAAAGAAAAATAGCAGATTTGATGGAACAATTTTCTAGAAAGCAAAAATGTGTTATAATGATGTGGACATTATTAAAAAAACTTCTCTTTAGGTAAGCTCAGAAATGAATTTAAAATATTTCAAAAAATGCTTTAAATACAGAAATAGGAGCAATCCTCTTCCTCGCAACAATCCTCCTACTTGCAACAGAAACAAATTAGAACACTCAAGCAAATGCTAGATTCCAGAAAATTTAATCTAACGTAGATAAACCCCCTGCACCCACTTTCCTCAAATGACCAGCTCGATAAAACAGTGGATCATTTTATTGAATTAATATAACAAAGGGTTTGGGCCAACATCAAAACAGTCACCCATCAAAACCAACGGATTTAACTGCCCGATGGAAGTGAGGAATCAGGTGAAATATGGAATTAAACTTGGACGAAATTGTGAAGCAACCAGAGATCGTGCGATAAAACTGATCAGGAAAAAGCCGATATTTTTGCTACTCACCTACAAAATATCTTCAATCCGAATGATGCGGCAATGGGCTCAAATGAGTGCCCTCCACAACGAGGGCTGAAATACACCTCAACCTGAAAAAATCACCAGGATGCGGTCTCCTCACTGGACTAGTCTTAAATAAGTTACCTACGAAAGGACGATCGCGGCTCATTGGAAAATGGCAGAAATGATAATGATTTTAAAGCCTGGGGAGAACTACAGAAATAAAATCTTACATACCGATTCCTTTGGTGCCTATCATGTTAAAACTATTTGAAAAAATATTTTTCAATCGATTGAAATCAATTATTGAAGAAAAGAGTCTTACTGCCGAATCAGCAGTATGGATTTAAGCAGACACTCAACAATAGAGCAAGTTTATCGTCTAGTGAACATCATATAGAAAGCTCTGGAACAAGAAGAGGTGTGTTTAGTGATATTTCTGGATGTGTAGTAAACATTCAATAAAGTCTTGCATGAAGGCTTACTGTACAAACGTAAAAAAGTATTGTCAGTGCAATTCGTCAACTTTATTAAATCTTACATAACAAACAAATTGTTCAGCGTGAATCGCAAATCAGACTGAAAACTGATGAAGAATCTACGTTGTTTCTACAAAGATCCAATGACTTAGTGGAATGTTGGACGAAGAGATGGCGGATAAAACTTAACGATCAGAATGCAGTACATGTGAATTTCACCAACAAAATAATTTCGAATCCAAAGAGGTTAATAATAAATGGAAATATAATCCGTTATGAAAACACAACAAAATATCTTGGCATGAACCTTGACGCTAAAGCTAAATGGGTCGAGCACAGCAAATTCAAACTTGCAGAACTGCAGATCCGCTTCAGGCAGCTCTACTGGATACTTGTTCAAAAATCGCGGACTTCCATCGACAACAAGCTATTAGTTTAAAACCAAATTCTTAAACCTATTTGGATGTGTGGCATTCAATTGATGGGATGCGCTAGCCGTTGCCATATTTGGCTACTGCAAAATCTCCATAAAACAGATTGCAACGTCTCAATACAAAAATTGTCCCATACAGACCGATAATCCAGAAGCACTTCCCAACAACCAGATTTCAAGACGCCTCGAAAGCAGCAAACCCTTTGAACTCGCGGTATGGCAGGGCTAACAACGAAGCTCCATAACTCCCCCCTCGGTTGACTCGTCAACACCCAGATGTAGCGCAATGTAAATAAATTGATTATTTATAAAACAATTATGAACAAAAAATTTTAGATGTAAATGAATGGTTGGTCAGCAATGACCAGTTTCAATAAAACTACAAAAAATTAAGTTGAAGATAGCAGGTGTCGGACAATGATAAAAACGTCACTATTCAATTATTTGCTGACGTTTAGACCTATATTGGGGTCTTCTTCAAGGTTAAAATAGCAAAATAATTGAATAGTGACGTTTTGATAATTGTCCCACATCTGCTATCTTCAACTTTATTTTCCTATTGAAACGCAAAAGCGAAACGAAACTACAAAAAATGTCGGTTTCTTTAAAATATTTCTAAAAGTGTGTTCGCTTCTTTTGTGGTCCTACAGATCTCAATGCTAACGCCTCGGCTACATGTATAGCATTTTCAGTCGTTGAACCGGTTCTCTTCTATATTTCCAGCCAGAAATTATCCATCACCTCGGCTATCCAGTGCAAACTTACAGGGTGGTTACTAAAGATGGATATATCCTAACATTATTCCACATGCCAAACGATGGCAGCCGAAATCCACACGCCAAGAAACACCCAGTATATTTACAGCACGGTCTTGTGGCCACATGCAACAACTTTTTGGCTCTTCAGAAAGACTCATTGGGTAAATGACTAATTGGCTAATTGCCAATTAACCAGGCAAATTTATTTATTCTTAAGGCCGTTGGAATAATAATGAAGGCTTGGTATTTTTCAGCTTTTGTGCTTTGGGACGCCGGTTACGATGTGTGGCTCGGAAATTATCGAGGTACTTATCCATCAGAAGAACACGTGAATCTGACCACTCGCGATCAGAAATTTTGGGAAACTAGGTAACATTTTTGCACCGTTAGCCCTCGTATGGATTGGGAGAAATTAACTACTTGCAGTATGGATGATGTAGCCCTCATTGATCTTCCGGCTATTTTCCATACAATTCTGGCGCACAGCAAACCAGATAGCAAGATCATCTACATCGGGCATTCTTTGGGAACCACATTTGCTCTTATGTATGCCAGCGAGCTTCCAGATGAGGCCAAAACCATTATCAAGATGTTTGTGCTTTTATGTCCGGCCTATACGCTTAAAAACATGATTTCGCCTTACAAGGTGTTTGCTCCGTTTGGAAACTGGGTTGTGGTAAGTTGCGCAACGGTGTTGCAGATAATGGTGCTAAGTTTGAGAAAATAATTCCACTTTTATAACAAGTTTCACTTGGTAGTGGATCAGTCTTGGTATAAAAAAATCGATTTCCTTAGTTCGGAAAGAAAGTTTAGAATAAAAAGTGCCCGTTGCGAAAAGGCTTTGTCTAAACCCTTATATCATGATTAATATCATGTTAGCAATCTACTTTAGGGGCACAAGACATTCACCGTCAACTAACAGTGAACAAAATAATTGCTTATCATATACCGCAGCTGCGGTTTTTCTTATATGCATACTTTGACCTTTGACAAGCGATTAATCCGCCAATTCATGTGCTAACGAAACAGAAATTTCAGGATACTGTTCGCGATCTTAGACTTGACCGTATCGTATCAGAAGCCCAAGAACTGGCAAGACTGACCGCCCCTTGCATGGAATCACCGCCTTTAATGCGACTCTGCATGCAGCTCTACAATTTATTTTATGGACCCAAGGCGGATTTTGGGCCAGTAAATATTCGCTTTTTCACAATGTCCCAATTGACTGAATGGTCGTTTTTAGGAAATTGTTCCGGTTTACTTTAGGCAGCTTCCTGGAGGAACATCAATCCAGATTTTGAACCACGCGGCGGATCTGGTGCTGGGAAACTTCCGGAAATACAATTACCCACCTCAGGTAAACTGGCAAAAGTACGGGTCATCGAAGGCACCATTTTTGGATGTTTCGCGCATCGAAGTTCCTACTTACATCGTTTATAGTACACAAGATTGGGCCACACCTGAAGCCGTAAGTATATTTAGTCACCTTTTCAAACCGCTATATGTAAGGATGTAAGACTATATTTACGAAAGTTATTTTGCCTAATAATGCACATGAACCATACAACAGTTTCAGCTGGTTTCAGCTAGGTTTGTAAGTGACAGGTGATAAATCATATTGATAAATACATTTTCAATGGAAATATCACATCATCACAGACTTTAATAAAAGTTCTTCAGCATCAATTTTAATCCAAAAAATGAGTAGGACCAAGCAAAGCTGGTGTATATCGTCTAATATTCTAATGCAGTGTAAAACAAAAAAATCTTCCCACCAGCTGTATAAAGTACTTAAAATTTCAGCTCAACTACTTCCTCCGCATATTCCAACAGTGTGGTAAGAAGACGCTTTCTGGTGAAAACACTCGATAGAACGGTAGACATATAACGTTTCGCCAACAATTGCTTGATGGGTACTTTTTTTTGATAGTTCGGGATGAAAGGAAACATGCGCTAAACCTTCAAATTACATTCTCTGCTTAATGGTGGTGCTTGTTCATATTCAGCTAAAAACGATGAAAGTCATTGGTGCTCAGTATTGCCCTCAGTACGACTTCATCAATCAGCCGCTGCAGTTAGGGTTACTTTAACCGCCGGCAAGAAATATCAGTTGAGCACAAATCAATATACGCGGTGATTCAAAATTCCTGAAAATTTGCCTTTACAATTGCCTTTACAATGGTGCGCCTCAGCATTTCCCTACGAAAACTTTCTTCACGTTTGTGAATTTTTGAATCTACAGTGTCGAAATTAATCAACGCTGACCACCGCGGACGCCGGATTTCAGTAAGTGTGATTTTTTTTCTGTGAGGACTTTAAAATAATTTATATATTAAACGTATCTTGAAACTACACCTGATTTATGATATCGCATTAGTAATAAAGGTTTTTTTTTAGGTAAAAAGGGAGTAACCTTTAGAAAAAAATACCTTGTAGATTTTAGCGCCCAGTTAGCTTACTTACGCGTAAAGAGGCTAAAGGCAGTAGCGTGCGTGAAAAATTTGAGCAAAATATCTCATAAACTGTAAGAGTTAAAGGAAAAATATCAATATTTTTTAAACTTTAACACTTTGTATCTTGGGAACCATCGACACAGTATTCAAGAACGCAAACTTAAAAGTAATCTCAAATGTTCGCTAACACTGACTATACTCTGTTTTTATACAACATTTTCAGTATTCAATTCTTCTGAAGATTTATTTTCCACTTGCTTCAAAACGATGCTTTTTACTGAGCAGTTTTCGCTTTCACATGAGATATTTTTTATATAATATATAATTTTCAAATATAAATCGACACTTTTTCATAGAGCAAATCGATAATAAATGTGATAATAAATGATGAAAGTTACTGTAAAATTCCGCCAAATTTAGGCTTGAAATGAAAATTTTGTAACATAAATTGACTGATAAATAAAATATTTTACCTCATAAAATTTCGACAACAAATATTCCAAAATTTACAGCATAATTGGCCTTTTAATTGAATTGGTGGTTGTACATAAATCGACACTATTTATCAAGATCACAATCACAATTAAGAATCGATCAGAAACGGCTTTACGTTGTACTTTTTACTTTTTAAGAAGATATAATTTGTTTAATGATAATTAAAAAATGTCTCGAATTTTCTCTGAAATGCGTGATGAGAGCCGTGAATTGAAACTTTCCGTACATATCAAATCAACATTCTTTGTTCTGGTGATAGTTTCTTAAATTTTCTGACTAAATCAGTTGTTGCAAAACAATTTTAAGTTTTAAAATGCATTTAGATTTTTTTTTTCGAAATTTGATAATAAATACTCGAACAAAATCGTACACGAGCCCTTTTCGGATTTTGCTTTTTTCAATATTCAAGTTCCTGCCTTAATTTTTATTCGATATTTTTATACATGAATCGGCACATTTTCTGTTAAATAATTATCTAGTGTCCAGAATTGTCTCTGGATATTTAATACGAGCGCAAATTGAAGCGCTCAGGACTTATGAAACAAAAATCTTTATTTCTTGCTAAAGTTTAGGCTAATTTTTCGCGGAATACGAGTTTCAGATGCAAATTTTAAATCATACATGGACAATTCGGCTAATAGTTATTTATTTTGTTATTACATATTCGAAAAGTTGGATAGAAATTGCTGATGAAGGTGAAAAATTGGAATATTCAACATGAATAAAATAAACTATATTCTTGTCCCTAATATTATTCTCAAACTGGTCTTTTAGCTGCTGGTCTGCTGCTGCTGCTGCTTCGAATCTCCAGATTTTATATTTGAATCTACACATTTATTCTTGAAGCGTTACCCAGTTCCAAACATATCTCGTCAAAGTTCTCACGATAGCGGTAAATTGCAACTTTCCGGCATTTTTCTATTCAGTTTGAGCTTGTGACGGAAAGTTTGAAACAAACATCGAACATTCGAAAATTTTCACAGCAATTCCTGACGACGGTGGAAAAACGAAACTTGACACAAAAATAACTTGCTTCTTGTTAATGTTTTTATACAGGGTTGCTCATTAGTGCGTCAAAGTGCGATATCTCAGTAAATATAAAGTTTACAAGAAAATTCGTCCAACGAAAGTTTTTCACGTTTAAAAG